GCGAAGGTTTTGAAGCCATCAAACGATTCATGCTCCGACAAGTCCGAGTTCACTCAACCCACGATATGCAGATGGCTATAGAAAACAACCTGCCAAAGACAAATCTTGCACAGCCACGACTGCAAGGTCCAGAGATCGACGATTTCCCAGCTTATCATATATTCTTCAGTCCACCAGCAGTCACTTATCTGAATCACAAGGACGAAAAATGACTGATGATGGTCAATGAAATTGCAAAGTACTGTGATGGGACTCTGAAGATCATCAGAGAGCAACTGCTGAAATTAAAAGAAAAACTGGACAAAAAGCTTGCAGACGCATCGTCATACACTCAGAAGGAGCACGCAACATTGACAACCATTCTAAAGGCCATTGACGATCATCTTGACAAGAGGAACATTCTGAGGCAATATGAGCATGCGCTAAAAATAAGAAAGGATTAATTCAAGTCTCAGAAATAAAAGCAAGACGGCACTTGATCACAAAGGGGGAGATTGTTGGAGATTATTTTATTGTGAATCAAGTTTGTCAGATATCTTGTAATAGCTTAGAGTTCACTTTATCTGTTCTGTATTTGTACAAAGTATTTTATAGATTAGTGAACTATATGGCCCAAAGTGTTAGGCCCATATTAGGCGAGAAGCCTTATGCGCATACCTGAGCCTCGCCTATAAAAGGGAGCCGAGGACTCAGGTCTGCGTTAACTTTCATATTCGCTCCAAACAACCTTAGCGCTTATCCTTGTCTGTACGAGTTCATGGTATATCAAAGAAGGTTTACATCGATCATCTGTGTCCATCTTTCTTGTTAATCTTCTCCTTGGTATATCTTATATATTGCTGTAATAGAAAACAGGGACTAACAAACTCCTTCTGGACCTCCACAGCAAGAGCGGAGTCGCCATTCTCCGAGGGCTGACCACTGGCAGATTCAACGTCTGATATGTTCTCCTCCTCAGCCGAGGGCTCCCTCGAAATATTTTGGGAATCGCTTTGCGAAGACATTTTTTGAGACTTAAAGACTAGGGGTTCTATAGCAGAAGGCTACCTAAGGAATTCTATCACTTAGCTTAAGACTACGAAAACTAAACTCACCAAGTAAGCAAAGCACGCCGAAGGCAAACAGAGGATGGAGCAAGAACTGACCTTGAAAGCTGGTGATCGAGGGGAAGTTTCTCTCTCTACAAAAAATTCGCCAGAGCTTCGCTAACAATGAAAAACGCACAAGGGGGGATGGCATTGGCCTTGAGTATTTATAGGCCCCGAATCCGGGATTGGGCCGAAAACCGGGCCCCCAGCTCCCGGAATCATCATTACAAACTGTCGGTTGGGCCAACCGGTGACGCCCGGCCGCCGGGATCCAACGAGCACACGCCGCGTGGACAGCCACCTCCAACGGTCACATTCCAACGGTCATATCCCAGCGACCCTTCTCCATGGACTGAGGTGCCCTCGGCTTGCACCTATCAAACAACACATGCCTTCGGGCTAGCTCCTTCAAACCACTTCATCAAGGTCAGCCCCTGGCTAGCAACAGAGGACCCCTCGGTTCCCCTTAGCCCTTAATGTGTTGAGAACCAGGAAACCCCCGGGGACACACCTTCACACCTCCTCATCAATGGTTAGCCTCCGGCGACACAATGGGAGAACCCCTTGGGAGCCCTCACCCTCCAACTTATCAAGGGCTAGGGAACCCCCCTCGGCAACACTGCAGCTATCACCACGTCAACGAGCCCTCAGCCCCAATGATCGAGGGACTCCCCTCGGCATCCCCGGGAAATCAACAAGGTAGCCTTCGGCAAATCAACGAACGCGCCCTCAAATCAAGGATAGCCTTCGGCATCAGCATTATCCTTCATCTCAGACCAAGGTTCCACCTTTTCGATTCATCATTGGGGGAACTCGGTGCACTCTTTTTCCCACATTACGATTTTTTCCCACAAGGTTTTTCCTAATGAGGTTTTTAACGAGGCATCCCCCCAAAATGAAACAAAAAGTGTCGGCCTTCGGCACTATGATAACATCAGGCACTACTCTACTCCTTTTCACCATTTTACAAGTGCCTCAAGGAGTGGGGGGCTGGAAGACCCCGTCGGGAAAATCACAAAAATGCAAAACGTTAAAAATCTCCCCTAAATAGCAACATAATCCGTCAAGTCCCACAATGTGGGGGACTGAGGGACTGCCTTCGGCAAACCGTGCAAACAACAACTCCTCACAAACTCCACAAATTATAGAGCAAAACGCCAGCATCAGAGGACAAACGCATTTTACTCCTTTTCCCTCAAGTACCTTTCAGCAAAAGGAGTGAGGGACTTCTGATGGAGTATATGGCCCAGGAACCCCCAGACCATAGACTCCCACTATTCTAATACATGCCCAACAGGCCCATGAAGCACAGCAGGCCTTAATCGCAGTGCCCCAAGTGACATGAGGCCCACGCTGCCCATGCAGTCGCCTTCGGTCCCCTGGCCGAAGGCTCCAAATTCTCACAGAACAACTATTTTAGGCTTACGAAGCTACTGGGAGAAAACAACGAAATCAGTAGCCTTCGGCACCTAGAGCCCTCAGCACTGAGAGGCCCCCGGCATGAAGAGCCCTCGGCTAGCCATCTGCAGCCGAGGGCACCTTCCTCGACAGAATCTCCTCTCCACATGCACCTAGATCGCCGTACCAAGTACAACGTCACATGACTCACATCCAACCGCCGCATTTAATGCGGCCACATGCAATTGCCAGTGCCACCCCGATTGACGTGACCCTCGGCCGTCGGATGCTTGACACGTGTCATTGTCTCGCATTTATTGCTGCTATAAATAGCACCCCATTTCTCCATTGTAAACCACGCTAAAAATGCTCAATACGCTTTAAGCAATACATCGAATACATACTCTCTCTCTTACTTTTGCTCTGACTTCTCTCTAAGCTACTCCCGCAGTAACCCCTCGGATAGATACCCCGGGTACATTATCCATCATGAAGAAAAGTAGGAATAAAATAACCATTCCAATATCATTGATTGTATTTTTTTGGAGAATTGAGAAAAAGTCATATTTTTGAATTTAATTCATAACAATATAAGTAATATAGGTGTCATTTTTTCCAATGAATTTAATCCATATTCCCTCCGTCCCAAAAAATTCTTCCTACTTACCATTTTGGGATGTCCCAAAAAAATCTTCTAATTTCCCTTTTTGGATTGTTTTGTGTGGCTCACGTTCATTTACATTTTTCTTACTCAATGATAAGTCCATATTTAGACACGCATTTGATGCGTGTTGGGATCAGTTTTTGATGTTTTCCTAACTTTTAGGTGTCACAAATCTAAATTTTAGCTCAAGTTATGTTTACCGGGCGTTGGTTCGAGTTTTGTGTTGTTTGGAGTCAAAATCAGGAATTTAGAGTTTGGCACCGGCGCTTGAAGAGTAACCGGGATGATTCGAGATGCATTATAGAGTGGATTGAGATCTTTGGAGGTCAGTGGGAGGTTCACAATGAAGATTTGATGACAAAAGAACTCTAGGATTGGCTACGAGATCAAAAGAAGACGAATGGAGCTTGAAATCGGCGATGAGGATGACCTTCTGTCAATCATCAAGCGGATCTCTTTGTAGAAACATCCAATGTACACGGTTAAGTTCCATATGAAAGCCATCTTCAAGAGCTACAAATCATGCGAAGACATCTTTGCGAGAATCTGAGAGGGAGAAGGTGAAAACAGACGACGAAGTCAGATGATCCCTGTTGCGATTTCAGAATGAGATATTCCACCATTTTATTCATATCTCTTGATTGGATGATTCAAATCCAATTCGGAAAGTTTGGTTGGATAGAGGACTTCATTATCTAACACCTTAATGAGAGAAGTAAAGTCAAATTCGGAAGTTTTACGCAAGCCATGCGTGCCCCGTTTTTGTTTCCTAATTCAACCCGAATTTCCTTGTTTCCTATAGATAACACCTCTCTAACCCTAATTAAGAGGGAGCTTAGAGAGATGTCTAGGGACGAAATTTCTTCTACTTTTCCATCTTATTCTTCAATTCCCTTAGATTATTTGTAAGTTCCTACTTTTTAATTAATGACAATTAATTCTATTCTTCCCAATTCTATTGATTCTTCAATTATGAGTTGTGAGTAGTTTTAATTAGGGATTTGAGATTGATGAAGGGGTTAATCATGATGTATGGCTAAATTCATTATGATGGATTAATTGCATGAATGTATTTAATTTGTGTTTGAATGATTTAATTGAAATCTTTTGTAACCAAGAACGGCCGCTAGAATTATAATTGCTTGTAGAATAAATTAAGAGAGATCTAGTTTATTCTAGAACACCTTCATACACACTTAATCGTTCGCTAAGAGATTAGTAGCGATTAAGGGGCCGTAAGCTCGTTCATTTTGGCAATAATTTAGGATCCTGTCGCATGAGAGATCAGCCGTGTCCCCTAAATTATTGTACTCTACGCCGCGAGAGCGGTAAAAACTTAGTAATGATTAGTTAGGCTCAATTAAATTAATTTCATGCGATTAAGCCTGATCTGCCAGAAACCTGATTACCCCGGAATCAATCCCTATTCCCTTCGTCATTAATTAGAAAGAACCCATTAGTTTAATTTTTTTATTCGCAATTTAATTTTCCTAATCAATTATTTTTATTCGCTCATTCCCATTAATTAATTTTCCAAACCAATCAATCTCGCACAATTTATTTTATTTTATTTCTTTTTTCTTCGCTGAATTTAATTAATTCTTAATTCTCTTTTGTCCGTCCCTGTGGAGACGATACTCGTACTTACACCCTATAATGCTATATAATTTAAGTGCGAGAAAACTAACATCACTCAACCACAAACATACATTTTCACTTTATTCTCACTTTCTTAATAAGCGTGTCAAGTCAATCCGGGAATTATTTTTTGAGATGGAGGTAGTATTTTTTATAAAAGAGCTTTAATATATTAATTGAATAAATAAATGTTGAATAAACGGAGGAATAACTCTATCATAGTATTAATGAAAATGGTTCGTGTGGGAAATACTTTGATCTTTACATGGAGAGATTGTTGGCCATCAAAGGGCCACCAGCAATATAGTATAAGGAATACACTGCATATGAGTATATTGCATAACTTTACATCAACCAAATAAACTCAATGGTAATAGTGATGGAACCAGCTGAGTTTATCACATCCCTCAACATCATTCCCTCTACTGTGAATCCACCATAGAAGGTTTGTCAATGAGTTCCCATCATCATATCCTTTCAACTCCCTTACCTTCCTCAACGCCCCCGCTTTATCATAAATACCTTCTAACGCATAGACAAACCCCTTCCACCCTTCTCCCACCCCAGCCCTTGCTAGAGCAGGCAAAGTCCACTCCACAAGTTGCTTCACAAATCCAACATTTGAGAATAGAACTTCACTTATTGGCAATATAGGAAGAAGTTGTATCCCCAGCCTGCACTCTTTCCATTCGGGCGGAGCAAACCATAGACTGCTGTCTCTTTTGTTAGCCCACAGAACGCCCACCACGCGGTTCTCCCTTGTGAATTCTTTGGGGTATATGTCATTGTCCTCACTCACATGCCACCAAGTTTGGGCTGATTGAATCTCCAGTGCAGAAAGTGTGGATCCGACTGATACAAGATGGGTGTCCCCGTGAACCAGACCTATCAAAGCTGCGGAATAGTAAGCATTTATTGCCTCGCTCGTGCTCTCCTGGTTTCGCCCATCTGCAAATTCAGTCAACCCTCCTGCCCAAGAGTGGAGCTTCCACAAGTCGAAACACCTCACCCGCGGGTAATCTGAATTCTCTCGTTTGGTTAGATTCATAAAATCTGCAATAAGAGAGTACGCTTGCCCCTTGTACTTCCTCCCCCATGTGTAATCGAGCTTGGATAGCACGGCGATCGCGTAAATAAAATATCCGATGTGGAAATGGTGGTCGTTAAAGATCCCGAACCCAAAATCAGCTCCTGAATCGTTTAAGCCTTGTTTCGTCACAAGCCCGCCCCATTTGGAATCGTAGAGGAACCCGTTTGCCCTGAAAGTCCCATCCAACCAAGGCTGAATTGTGTCCTTCAAGAAATCCCGGATAGCTGGGATAACGTCAAGGTGACACACCTCTTCTGCTATCAAAGCTAGCCTTGCTGCTCTTGCAATCAGTTTAGCATAAAAGTAAGATGACGAAGTCTGTATATTTGCAGCATTAAGAGCAAGAACATCTGCTTCCAGTGCAGCGATTATCTCTGCGTGTGATTCCTCACTTGTGCCTTTAACGGAGTGCCACGTCACTGAAATCGGGTCAGATTTCAGAACCCACGACTCCCCAACAACACCTACTAGATCACCATCAATGCCGGTATACTTGAAGTTATCCAAAACAGTTAATCCGCAATTAGCGTCGGAAAGAAGCCGGAGGTGAAGGGGATGTGCAAGCATGAGCAGATCTCCCCATCCCCTTTTATCCCACTTATACTCCAAGCAAAATGGCTTGGAAAAAACGGCTTCGCCTGCAACCGGATAACAAGAACTAAACCGGGCGAGAAACGATTCGCCAACCGGATCGGAGTTTGGCAACAGAGCAATCCTAATCAGACCACGAAACTCACCGGATGTGATGGTGGAGCGATCGTTCCGGAAATTGATGGGCGAAGAGGCGTAGAGAAGCCAAGTCTGGTCGTTATCGAGCTTAATTGTGTGTTTGGTTTGAGATTCATTGGACGAACATTCTAGAATGGCGTGGATAGTTGAGATTGAGATCGCGACATTGCTGATCACTTCACAGGTCAAGAAGGGGCTTCCCCTGACAAGAAAGAACCGGAGATTTGCGGAGGGAAGGTCCAGCGTGAGACTGAGATCGTTGAACGATGAAACCACATGGGTCGCATTAGGGTCCGGATTGTTCAAAGCGGACACGGTGAGATCCGGATTGAAAATCTGGTAGGTGAAAGCAGAGTTTCGGAACTGAGACGGGTAGCAGAGAGCGAGCGAGGATTGGGATGACCTGACGAGATATGGGTGAATGTATTCGGGTTGATCGCCATTCTTGAGAACAAAGTTCTGGAAGAAGGAATTCGTGGGGAGAGGGCTGGAGAGAAGGTGAGGGGCGAAGAAATGGGACGGGTCAGGGAGAACGGTGGATTCCGCCGGCGGGAAGCCGAAAGGACGATGAGCTCGATGCGGCGGATACATGGCGGCGGCTGCGGCTGCGGCGGGGGAGGAGGAGATTTCAGGTTGAGTCAGCGGCGGTTGTTGAGATCGTCGTCGTCTTGGCGGAGGTGGTTTATAGAGCTGGTTGAATGACTTAGAGACAAGGGCCTTGAATTTTCTGGTTATCTTTTTCATGACCATGATTGAACCTTAGCCGCGTGATCTAATTAGTTGACTAGTGACGGTGACGTCAAAGTAAACGGAAAAATGATTTGTGGTTGGTGCTTACGTCAAGCATGTTGGCCAAATAGGCAGCCAGCCGGGATGCGACCCAAATAAAAACAAAGAGAGGTAAGCTACGAGACAACCCATTGCGTCCGGAGGGAGTAGTAAGACTCTTCAATTCGGGGAAACCACAAAATGGCGTGCAAAAGTCAAGAATATATTCGCGGTTACGGTTCGTCTTACATGGAGTTTCATATAAATACTATTTCGGGTCCTCCGTCTCTTAAAACTTTGTCAAATTTGACCGACACGGATATTGTTGATTATAAGTCTCGAATGACCCGAAGGTCCAACACCAACCTTGGATCTAGGGTGTGATTTGCTACTGTAAAGTGTATAAAATATAAAATCTGATTCAACAACTCAAATAACTCAGCCTGTATTAACGTAATAATAACAATTACACGGAAAGGCCGAACGGGACGTTGCAGTCCGAAGACTAATACAAGAGCTAAAATACTATTAGAGCTTGAGAGTATACAAATGTTAACCCTTTTCTGAATTAAAATAATGTTATTTATACTGGATGGGGGTATGGGATGCTCTAATATGATTGGTTGCCTCCCATGCAACTTGACACCCCCATGATCCAGCATTAACTGCAGTCGATTACTTGAGCAATTATCGTCCAGGATTAAACCTTGCTAAGCCACTTATTCGGAATAAGCAAATCACCCAAGCACAAATTACATCTCGTTCGGGATGTGCCGAACAGGGCTTGCCGTTCGGGCCTGATGATTCTCCCTGGATCTTCCCTTGCGTCTGGGCTTCAGGGATATTCTGGGCCGGCATATTGGGCGGGACCCTAATATCCCATCACAAGTCCTCCACTTCTGATGTTCCGAGCGTGCTCGGTCATGGGGAAGTAAAACCGTAAGCTTCCTGCCGTTCGGTATAATTGCGTACAGTGTTTTTGCTAATGTTTGCATGCCCCTGATGTGAAGGTTCGAAGTCCTCTGGCGGCTGTTGTTTATAGTCCCTATGCAATCGTCATGATTACTTGCCGTTTCGCCTCTACCCAACACGTGTCCTTTGGAGCGTCTCTTGTTACGTGTCAGTTTGTGAGTGGTTGGTGTAACGGTACCTTTAACCCATAAATAGGGGTTTTGGGCTTTAGTTCTGGGTTTTTTTATTTTCGCCCTTTCGCTCAAGCACTCAGCCTTCTTTCTAAATCCCTAATTTCCCAAGCTCGCTTACGTAATTGTCCCTTGCTTTCTGTTTTTTCTTCCAGTTCGACATAAATGTCATTAAGTTCTGGTTCTTCTGACCCCTCGATTACTGAGCCGGGTCGGGATTCTGAGATAGATGCCAATGTTGGCGATACGGCGAGCACTGCTGCAGCCCTAGGGAATGTGGGCGAAGATCCCCCTTCTGCTAGCCATTCTGAAGATGCTGAATCCGGAAGTTCTTCCGATGATGCATCAGGCAGCAACTCTGATGATGCCCAGTCTGGCGATGATATGGCGGTGATGAAAAGTGGCCCTCCTGACGATGCCCCCTGTCATCATTTAGATTTGAGGCCCATCCGAAAACGGAGGCAAAAATTATCCAATAAACTCAGGGCCCAAATACTAGCCCTGATTTCTGAACGAGTTGACTTCCGTCTCCATGCTGGTCTACATTCGTTGCGCCGTCGTCCTAGGATGACGGTGGTGCATCTTGATTCCATCAAAGCCGGACTTAGGTTCCCGCTGTACCCTTTCCTCGTGTCCTTTTTCAACCACTATCAAATAGTCCTGCCCCAAGTAATGCCCAATTTTTATCAGGTCATAGCCGGGTTCATTTGTCGCTGCAAGGATGTTGACTTGGCACCCGTTCTGGATCTCTTCCATCACTTCTTCAAGGTTGCCCCCAACAAAATGATGGATTCCTGGCAGTGAGTGCCCGACCGAAAAGGATCCTTTTTAAGGGGAACCTTACTTCCATCAAGGGATGGAAAGATCGTTTCTTTTTCGTTTCAGTCCCGGACGGCCTTATCCCTAGTAGGTGGAACGCTTAACCGCCCAAATCCACTGAGCCATTTGTCTCCATAGATCTAGAAGAGACGATCATCGCTATAGAGAGGGCCAAGACGCTAGATATCATGATTTATTTGACCCCTGACCGGGCTTGTGGAAGCTGGGATAGGTACCGCCCGAATTCCTAGGATCCTTGACTAAAACCAAGTGTCATGGCCCGAGCGGTCCTTCCCGTGCGAGAAACTTACATATCATGCTTGTTTCACACACGCTAAGACCGCTCGGTATTAATATTTTCCTTTTTCTTTTTCAGCTTAACACACCGAAACAATCATGAACAAGAGTCGTCTTAAGGAGATGGGCGCGGCCAAGAAGAAAAAACCCATCAAGAAAAAGGCCAAAACCTTGGCTTCTGAAAGTACTCAACCGGCCACCCAACCTGAGGTTCAGTAGCCTCAGCCAATCCAACAAGTGCCTCTTGAGGAGGTAAACTTCGATAATATGGTTGTGGATCAGCCATTCGGGGATCTACATTCTAACCCCCTCTTCAATGATGTCCTGGGTTCATTTGGTACTGTCAATGTTGGGGCCGGACAGGCATCTGTTTCTAGGCCCGTGGAGCCGATCTCGCTGGATGACCCGATCCATGCGATAATAGTAAAAGGCGGATTCCATCCCGCTCGGGTCTGGAGTACTTCTGCTATGATGAATGACTATCGTCTACCGCGGCTTTCGGTTGAGCAAGCCAAAACAGGGGTTGCCCTGGCTACTCTTAAGGTAACTCCCCTCCATTCGTTCCCTATTCATCTTTTCATGTTGTTTGGTAAATAATTGTTTTGTACTGTAGAGCTTCAACTCACTCGACTGGAGAGAGAGGAAGAGTTAGTTAGGGCTCGGCTTTCTGCGGAGCAGGCGACCGTGGAAGTGCTTCAGACGGCTGATCAGGAGCGGAAGAAGCTTGAAACCGAGCTTGGTCAGCTCTGGGTAGGTCTTGCCCGTTCGCAAGCTAAGGTTGCTGCAGTTGAGGCCTTTCAGGTCGCATTCCAAGAACGCGAACCCCAAATCCCGGATGGTCCCCTGGAAGTCAGGGCGGATCTGTCTAATGTTCTATCAGACAGATGGGAGGGTGGTTATGGCCGATGACTATGGATTGGCTTAGGCAGGCACCCTGTTCGGGAAACGCTTAGAACAACTCCATGCAGGCTCGATCCCGCCTCGATGGGAGGGTGGTTATGGCCGATGAGACTGCGGTTGGCAAGGAATGGGGTGAGGCTTTGGCCAAGACTACCTATGTTGAGGCCTGTCAGCGGGTCATGGAAAGGGTGGTGCTGATCCTGGAGCAGTTCTTGGCCGGTCGATTGAGCACAAGAATTTTTTCAAAGACAAGGTCCTACTGAATCAACTCGCAAAGTTTCGGCGCGACCAAAAGCCGATTGCCGACCAGGCCGCAGGTAGGGAGCCTGCGCCTCCAACTGATGATGAGGCCGATGAAGAAGAGGATGACGAGGCCGAAGAGTAAAGATGCCGGCCGGCCAGCACTTTATTTTGATAATTTATTTTGCACCTTTAATCTTTAATGTAAATCCCGGTCAGTAGTGCCGAAGAGTAAAATACTTTTTTGTCTTTGTCGCTGTTACTCGCATGATTCATTTCCTTTTTTGTCTTTTACCTTTCATTTGCCCGTTCGAGGTCCCTAACGTACCTCTTTGGACTTAGCAATTTTCCATGCTAACTTTGCCCCCGAATTGCATACGAGTTGAGCAGGATCCAAGCTAACTTTGGTCTTAGGTTTCACCCGATCATTCATATTTAGTTATCTCGATCGGGACATTCTGTTAGCTGCTGAATTACCCAGAGGAATCTCCCGTTCGGTAGCTCAGCAGGTTTCTGCTGCTTCTTCAACCATTGCGTTATTGCTAGCTTTCTCTCTCTAGAATTTCTGCAGACCTCTCTCCTTCGAGGTATTTACAACTCCCTTTTTCTCGCATGTATGTCCAGTTATTTTTCTTCAGACGAGGAAGACATGGTTCTGATTCGTCGTTCTTCAAGGGGAAAGGCTGGCCTGAGCGGCTAAGCACCTAACACTCCCTCTCAATCTTCAGATTCTCCAACCAATTCCCATGTTCCCCCGGAAGCCGAATAGTCCCTCCCCGATGATGGATGTCTCGAGGGAGAGGATCTCCAAAAATACAAGCGTGGAATGCCCGAGCGGCCTCCACGCATCGCACTAAACTTTTACTGTATTCGGAAGCAATGCTAGCGGCTTCCAGCAGATGCTGACCGGCAATTGGCCCTATTTTACCCCCACCTATGCAATTTTACAGTGGCTTTATTCGACATCCGATGAGGCACCGATCGGGTCATGTGCTGGTGCATCTGGATGCTTTGGTCGCCGGTCTTCGCTTTCCTTTGCATCCGTTTATCATAGATTTCATACGCTGGCTCTCGGTGCTTCCAGCTGAGTTCGTTCCCGGCACTTATCGCATCCTCACAAGATTTATCATCCGGTGCCATGAGTTGAGGATCCCTCCGAGCGTAGACTTGTTTCTATTCCATGGTATGAGCCATACTGGACCACTGGGTACTTGCGGCTGACCGCTCGGCCCTTCCGTCAACTCTTCACAGAGAATCCCACGCCTCCTGAGAAGTGACAGGAACACTTTTTATTCGTTCATGTGAGTGAACCGCTTCCATTTCCTGACTTGTGGAATTCCTATCTCGTTCGGGACAGGGAACCGTCTCTAGATGCTGTTCTTCAAAACCAGGTCGAGTCCCTGCGATTGGGGGCTCCCACAATATCCAGGTTTACGTCACGCTCGCCAAAATGCTAGTTGCTGGCATTGCTAATTCCCGTTATTTTGTGTCGTCCAGTGTGTTTGTCTTGTGCCAAACTGATAAT